ATACTAGGCTGCGTTCGAAAACACACACTGTGTGCACACTACTAGTCGATAGCCGTTGGAGTGAGCGAAATACAATGGCTGATCGAAAGCATATTTCGATATTAACTATAATTGCTTCTCAGCAATTATTCGAAAATGTGATATCAGACAGCAGCGACGAAAGTGAAAGTGAAGAATTAGACATTTGTGAAATGCAATTAAAAGTGCGGGGCACCTGCATGAGTTGAGGATTATATATTATATACAATACCCAATATGATAAATAAAGCATTTCGTGAGCATTTTCGGATAACTCCGACTGTTTATGAAAGTCTGGAGATGTATTTGGGCCCAAAATTATTAATTACAAATAATACAGGTCGACCCATGATACCAGTAAGAAAGCAACTATTGTCAGTTTTGTGGCTGTTGGCTACTCCAGATTCATACAGGTAAGGACAATGTTATGTTGTAAATCATTCAATTTTACAGTGTTGTGAAACTACTATGAAGTATTATTTCTTTGTCTAGATCTGTAGCTGACCGCTTTGGCATGGGCAAGTCATCGCTAAGTAATTGTTTCATGCGTGTTATTGAAGCTCTCAACAACATTGCTGGTGATGTAATTATTTGGCCAACAGGTGACAAGCTTCTGACTGCAAAAGAGAAATTCAGAGCAAATGGTGGTTTGCCTAATGTCATTGGTGCAATTGATGGTACTGACATTGAAGTGAAAAGTCCTAAAGTAAGTATTATAAAATAATAGCCTATATCATACTGTTAAAGAGAAATAACTTTTTTATCAATTGAAAATATATTTTGTCTTTGTAGAAAGATTGTCAATTCTACATCAACAGGAAGAAACGGTTTAGCATCACTCTTCAAGCTGTTTGTGATTCAGAGCTGTTCAGAGCTTCGCTTTATAGACTGTTTTGCTGGTTTTGCGGGCTCTGTTGGTGATCTGCGAGTCTTCAGGAACTCAGATTTGTGGCATGAAGTACAAAGAAATCAACAGGCCTATTTTCCTAACGAGGAATTTATGATTGGTGATAAAGCCTACCCTGTCTTGACATGGTGCATTCCGCCTTTCCGTAATTTAGGAAATTTGACACAAGCACAGCAAAAATTTAATCAGGTTGTGTGTAAAATGAGGCAAGTAATCGAACAAGCATTTGCTTTGCTAAAGGGCAGATGGAGACGATTAAAATACCTAGATATGAATAGAGATGATATAATTCCCTTTACCATAATAGCATGTTGTGTACTTCATAACATATGTCTTGATAGCATAGATGATGCTATTGATGAATTTATTGCTGACGGGTATGATGATATCCCTAATAATAATGAAATTTTTGATGAGGTTATCGCAAATGATGCAAATGGTGAAGCTAAGCGTAATTACTTAGTTACACTTGTAAATGACTAGGGTATATGTTAATATGTTAATAAATACAATTTATATTTAAATGTAACAAAAATGTATTTTTATTGAAGTAATTATAACATTATGCAGTTA